GACTAGTCTAGTCTTTCATTGTGGTTTTTCAGTTCCTCTATATTTTTCTCAGCATATCCATAGCATTGCTGATAAGCGACGATAAATATCTGCTTCCATGCTTATCCTATCTGTCTCCACGCATATATTAGCGCAGGCAGGTGCACCATTCCATTTTCATGCAATAAAAAAATATACAAAACATTCCAGCCCAAACAATCATACTCATCGAGTGATAATAACGAGTTTACTTCTTTCTTTGCACTCAAAATAATCAGAGATAAAAAAGAACGTTTAAAATAGATTTTCTTAAGTTTTTGTTTAGTTTATATGTATACATAAAATGAAATGTACGGACAGACAGTAAGTGATCATAACTATGTCCGTATGCTCTAAACATTTCTACTTTCCAACGGAACAATTGCTGAGTGCCGCTAAATATAGCTAATTGGTAAGCTACAAGAAATTTCCGACTTAGTTTCGTAAGGCGTAAGATTGCATTTGTCATATCACTAACAATTCTGTGGGATCCCCATTGGTGTGATGGTCAAATTATAACTGACAGTTATGGTCAACGCTGCTTTCCTAATAAAAGCTTATTATTGTAGCGGACATTCGAATAAACATTTGAATGAATTAAGAGCGTCGTAGCTTAGTGATTGCTACCCAGACTTACATCGAAAGGAGGTGAGTTCAAACCTCAACCGACAAGCCGACACAAAAATAATTTATATACCAATTTATATTTGTGACCGACTCAGTGGTAATGGAAACAACGATAACAAATCAACAATTAATCCAAGAAACGGCGGTAGGTTCGCCGGTCTGTCATGATTCAAATACTTATATTTAGAGAAATAAAAGCATGTCAAGTGGCTTCAACATGAGGTTTAACAACGTCTCTGACTTAGCCAGCATACCACCATGCCTCATTATTATTATATAAAATTCTCGTGTCACAGTTTTCCTTCCCATACTCCTCCGAAACGGCTTGACCGATTCTCATGAAATTTTGTGAGCGTATTGAATAGGTCTGAGAATCGACCAACATCTATTTTTCATCCCCCTAAATGTTAGGGGTAGTCCACCCCTAAATTTTCTTTTTATTTTAACTCAAAACTACGTTTGCCGGAACAGCTAGTAATATATAACAACCCAGAAATTCAAAGATTTGTATCTTTAAATTTCTCGGCTTGTTATGTATAACACGCATGTATTATACATATAAACCATCCTCTTGAATCACTGTATATATTGCTAGAAACTGTATTAAAATCCATTGCCATATTTAAAAGAGCGACGGTGATGGTGAGAGTGAGTTGAGTGGTTACAGATAGCGGTGGCGACTTTATACTATGTTAAGTAGACACCACATTTATAACGTCCAAGTCTAAACTCGAACTCACAACCTTTGCTCATTATAAGTTGGAAGTAGTATTATGCCAAAAAACTATCAAATATAAATCTTACATATTAAATTCTCGTGTCTTAGTTACCCTACTCTCTAAACGGCTTGACCGATATTTATGAAATTTTACATGCATTCCTACTGAATAATATCTGAGAATCGGCTACTATCAATTTTTCATACCCCTAAGTGATAAGGGTATTCCATAACATTTTCTTTTATTTTTTTGTATTTTTTTTTATAATATGGCATTAGAAAGCACATACAACCCTAAATTTTCACTCTTCTAGCATCAACCCTATATTTTTTAATAGCGATTTTAATTTATATGGCAAAACAGCGTTGCGGGGTCAGTTAGTAAACTAAAATAAATTGAATTAAAAACATTACATTAAAACGACATTCAATAGTACGTTTACCCATACAGAGTGAGTTTCCATCGCGTGACAAAATCGTATTGCAACACTATTTATGTGTAATGACATCATAAAATTCATTTCTGAATAAATCTTCAATGGAAAATAATATTAGTGTTTTTTTTTTATTATTTAATATAAAGCTCACGACATATTACATCGTGCATTCCTAGTGTACATTATATATCTATTTCTAGTAGTAATGGACCTTAATTCAAATTATAAATCTTAGACAATAGAACTTTAATAATGTTCATAACATATTAAAGTCCTATGTGTGTCAAATACATAGGTGTGTGTTTTATTGTGTTTTTTTTTATTGCTTTAATGTATTTTTACTTTTTAGGCATAATTATAAATATATTAGCATTCTGTCGTCTTTAAATAAACAAATGTGCGAAATTTCATACTCCTCCGTTCGCGGAATTTTCGTAAAAAGGGGTACAAAGTTTTTGCTTCACGTATTAATATAATGATTATAATTTTCTTTCAATCTATTTGTGTTGTAATCAAAGGAAGTGACTAAACATTCAAAGAAAGTCAACCAAATACTCAAACAGAGTTCTAAAGAGGTTTTAGTTATTGTAATTAAGGGGCGATAATATTCATACGATAAACCAAGTACTTAGTTAACATGCCTATGTTTTATGGTGTATGCGCCTCATTAGGAATGCAACAGCCACATGGGCGTTTCCGAGTCATTTGCGACTTTACGAGCACACGTATTCATTGTATTTATAAATCTAGGTCGGAATACAGACCGTGATATAAGAGTATAATATCCCCGAAACCGGCCCATCGAAGACAAACTCACCGAAAAGGTTAGGTGGCAAGTATCAATTCTTAGGAGATTCCTTTTCATTTCGCGCTGCTCGGTTATGGAACAAACTACCAGTACAGATACAGGCAAGTCCATCAATTGGTTGTTTTAAGAAAAGGTTGAAATCGCACTATTTATCGATTAGTATGATTAGTTTCATGTATTTTATTATTTGTATTTTGTGTAATATATGTAGATATCTATAGTAATTGTATATGTATGTATATATATATAACTATTATTAATGTTTATTTTATTTATTATTGTATATTTTATTATAATTAGAACATTATTTAATTTATTGAGTTTTAAATGTTTTATTTTTCTCAACTTTTGGACATTTCAACATAATATTGTTCAACTCAACTATGCCTCATTGTTGGGTTGACTGGTAGAGATCTCTCTTAGAAAAACTCTGTATATGTTTAAGTTTACAACTGTATTTAAAAGTGCAATAAAGAATATATATCAAAACTAAACTAAAATAAAAAACTTATTCCTATGAACTAAAAATAACTGTACTAATTATGAACTGTACAAAACAAAATGAACATATCATTATAAATTTCACAGTACAGACATATAATGTGTGAAATCAATGAGTTGTATCGAAGAATGCCCGTGTTATAGGGGTGATTGAAATAGCTTAAATGATAATGCGTTATAAGAGTACGTACGTGTTATAGGGGAAATTAATGTATTTAAAATAGATTTAATAGACTTGTGACAGTTCCATCTAACTCATTATTATTAAAATATTTATCTTTATACATAAAAATTACGTGTCACGTTGTTTGTCCGCGATAGACTCCTAAACTACTGAACCGATTGCAAATTTGATATGCACATTGTGTGCAATTTGATCCAACTTGAAAGATAGGATAGCTTACATCTCAATTTATAGTCGCAATATTATTTTATTTAAGAATCTTAGCCACAACAACGCGTGGCAGGGTCTGTTAGTCCAATTATAAATTGTTTTACAACATATTTTTACATCTACTGTTTGCAACCGCGTCGGCACGCTAGCAATTCTCCCACTATGAGAGCATTGCAATTATTAAATTTATTTTTAGGTAAGGTCCAAGATGCTGACGTTTATACAGAAGCCTTGCCTTCCATAATTACTAAAATAAGAATATATTTATCATCGTATAATTATAAATAGTTTTAAAATATAAACGTGTTGGCAATTAGCTGCAAGTTTATATTGTGTTAATTAAATAAATAAATATCAAATATCTAGATTATGTAGTTAATGTGATATATAAATCATCATTTATCTAAGAGTAGGAAACTGGTTGGTGTAATGATTCCTTAACGGTATCAACATGCGACAGGTATTATAATTAATTGATTGCTCTCCGGGCATGTTACGCGTCGGTCTACTTACTTACATCTTAAATATAAAATTCTCGTGTCACAATTAGTTACCCATACTCCTAACAAATGGCTGGACCGATTTCGACGTGACTTTCACTCTCAGATAACTAATGTTATAGGAAGTGATTTAGGCTATTTGTTGGCGACCGACCGCCGAACTCTTTTGATATTTTTAAATTTATATTTTTGAAGAGTTCTTTTTTATATGTCATGTTATTTGATATACTTCACTTTATTGTATTATTCTCTTATTGTCTTTCGTATAGTTCGCAACTATATTCTAATATATATTATTATCATACAAACTACGTGTTTTCATCATTTAGACACCCATACAGTCCACCGATCCATTACACTATTATTATTTTAGAAATTATATTGATTGACTCATGACACTCGACCACGTCACAACTAATAATAAAATAAAAGTAATATACAATATGGAAGCTGAAGTGTCGTGCAGTGTCAGATCGATCGAACTTTCGGTTCAGCAGTAGGGAAATCCTAGTAATGGGTACTAGTAGAGAATAAAAAAATATGATTTAACCACACATCAATGTGTTTGCTTTGTAAGGATGACGTAATTAGTAACATGTAGTATATAAGCATCGATTGTAATAATAAACAAAGTGAGAATACACTCAAATGTCGTCTACAACCTATCATTTGCCTAATAAGCACCACCCTTATATGGCGACCATACCACCCTTATATGGGGACCATGCCACCCTTATATGACCCTGCCACTCTTGTGATGGACACATCGCATTTATTGCATTGGTGGTTATTGATTGGTTTTCTCAGCAAACCACAGCATTGGGTTTTTCAAGAAGGGTACATTAAGGTTTCTTAAGGGTCGGCAACGCACACGTGACACTCCTGGTGTCTCAGGGGTCCATAGATTTACCATCAGACGGGCCGTATACTTGGTAGCCAGTTTCGTAGTATGAAAAAAAAAACATATTTATTTATAATTAACAAAAAAAATACTCACATTGCACGTTGACGTAGATATCCTTATACACGTATCCGATGCTATTGGTCGCGTTGCAACCGTAGTTGCCAGTATCCTTCTTCACCAGGTCGGTGATGATGATGTATTTGCCGTCGTTGCTGATTCTCCGCCGGGGGTTGCTAGGCGTTTGGGCAATCGGTACACCGTTGTGGATCCAGGAGATCTGCGGGGAGGGGGTGCCACCAGCTTCGCATCTGATCTCGGCCATTTCACCCTCCGCTTTGTTTTGGATCTCAGGCTCCACTGTGAAGAACGGTGCCGCTGCAAAAAAAAAAATATAATTATTATTTTATTACTTTAAAAAAAATCTACATACATTATTACTAGTTAACTCTCGACTGCGTCTCTTTTTCTTTTATAATGAAGATAGCCTATGTCAATCCTAGGGATATAGTCTATCTTCTTGTTACTTTCATTAAGAACAGTTCAGCCCTTTAGTCGTGAAAACTATAAGGAACAAACAAACAAAAATATACGACCGCATTTGTAATATTAGTATGGATTTTGTATATCTCGTAAACTATTAGTATTAAAATAGGGTTTTTCCAGTCCACCTATAATATTTACACCGAAAAAAATAGATGAACAAAACCTATACACCAAGGCACTATATGGGTACTACATGTACTCATATATCCGTGTCAATTAGATATTATAATTACTACAATATTCATCTATAATAATAATAATAATCTCAGGACAATTCCCACAGCGCCATCTAGTCCAAAGTTAAACTAGCTAAAGCTTGTGTTATGGCTACTAGATAACTGATACAAATACATAGATCTTTTTTTTGTAAATACATACTATACATAGAAAACACCCAGACCGATACAAACATGTGATTGTTTCATGAATAAAAATGTTTATGTCGAAATATCCATCTATATCCATAAAAAATAAAAGTTAATTAGGAACTCATTTTAACTCCAAAGAAAGAAAGAACTAACTCTAAAACATATCATCACCACGATACAGGCATAGTGGTGTCATAGATAAAAATGTTACTTAAGTTTTACGAAATATATATGTATTAAAATTATATATTAACTGAAACCTTATATATTACTTATGTACAATTTATGTATGTCTATATATTCATATATTTGTGTATGTTTATTCCTTCTTACAGTGTGACTTATTATTATTTATATAATTTTAATGTCTTCTTTTCCCTTTTTTTCTTTTCTCGTACACGTATGTATGGCTGACATACGTATGTATTATCCTATAATATTTTGTAACATTTTCTTCAGGTTTGCTGGAAGAAATCTCTTTAGAAATAAGCTCGCCCTTGTACATTACTTTTATTTTATTACTGCTATTTTTTTCCTGTGTGTGTATAGTAAAGAATAAAGAAATAAATGTTATTTTATTCTATATATTTGGCGATTTATTAATAAGGGGGTAGTATCGTATTCATTACTAGATATTAAGTATTTATATTTAAAAAAATAAATCTTCTATGCAAACATTTCTACAAACAATATCGCTAGATTTCAGGTTTATTAACCCCGCTTTACACGACACATAATAGGATTTTCTTGGTACAACCCGCCGAGTTTAATAGGCCTCCCGCGCTGAGGCTTCAAGTCTAGACGTACTATACATATACAAAATTGTATAATAAAGAAATCACCAGTATGAAAATATTTGCTAACAAATATTATTTAAAAATAAATTGAAACTGACAGTTTACGTAAGCAATACTTATTTTTAAGATCCGGTAAATAATATAACTTGTTATTGTGCATAAAGCAAAAATATTTACAAAAAAATACTTTATATTTATCGGTACGGAAATACCATTGCTGGAAACTGATTCCACAGTGCTTGGCAAAAAGTTTCTAGAAAACCGCACTGTGGAAGACGCGCCATTCATCCAAATGATCATAATATCCAAAAATATCCAACTAAAATACAAAGGATGGTATTTTAGTTTCTAATATGCTTACGCCCTGGCGATAAATTTATTGACAAATTGATCCATGAAATGGAAACTAGTTCAATTTCTTCTATATATGCACGTTTCAAAGCTCGCCACTATTATTTAGGTCAATTAAAGTAGGTTAAAAAAGGCTGGGCTAACAACTGTAATTACATGCAATTTGTGACTTTATTCCTTTTTCGAGTAGTCACTTTTTCGGACCAACTAATTAAATAAAATAGAATTCTTCATTTAAAGAAGCTTACCACTCATATGGGATTTTATATTACATAATCCTTGTTAATGTAAATCTAATTGAAACAACATTTATTTAAAAGAGTAACACACAAGTTTCTTGCTCATTCTTCTTGTTATGAGCCTGCACTGTGAATGAGTGGTAGAATAAAAAAAATGTGACTATTCAAAAGTGCTTGTATTAAATTTATTTGAATGAAGATTATTTCTATCTACGAAAAAAAACATAAAAATTAGGTTTTTATGTAGCTAACATAATAAGCTGTTCTTAAAAACCATAACTCGTAATTAATATTGATATCTTTACATAGTATAAAATGAAATAGTTTCCGCCATCTGTTCGTTTATATCTTTTAAAACACGGAACGGATTTTAATGCACTCTTTAGCAATAGATATACTGATTCAAGAGTATATATGAATAATACATGTACACCCGGGCGAAGCCGGGGCGAGTAGCTAGTGTACAATATAATACACCTGTGCGGTAGCTAGTAAACAATATAAAGCAACAATGTTACAAATCATGTTATTATATTTGAACATGTTAATTAATACACAACATTGCATGTACATTTTAAAGAATTAGATCATATATTTATAAATATAAATGAGCAACAAATTATAACTCATATATATGAAGGATATTTGTAATGGAAGATAAATTATAAATTATTCCATTAAATATATTCCCTACAATTGTTATACATATTGAAAACTTGACTGACCACAACCACAAAGTATCGAACCACAATTATCAAAATATTATTATATATTTTTAATTTAATATATTGTTGTTATATTCATAATGAAATATAATATAGCTCAATGGATACCTTTATAATATAATATACCTTAATATATATACTTTGACGGGCTCGGTAGTCTAGGGGTTTAACACACCGGTTCACTTCCTATGGTCACGGGTTTGATTCCTCGCACGGTGCAAACATTTGTATTCATAAGTATGATTGTTTATATTGGTCTGGGTGTAAACATTATCTATGTATTCACATCAGTTGTCTAGTACTTATAACACGAGCTCTGCTTACCGTGGAACTAGGTGACGCTGTGTTAATTGTTCATGATTATTTATTTATTACTTAAAAATATTCATTTAGTTAGGAAACAACAGATAACAAACAAAGATCATTACCATAGTGCCGGCGCCTGTCGCATCTATAAACGAGCAATCCATAAATTATGGTACAAGGATTTCATTATTTTTCCCCACTCCTCCCGTTCTTGTCACAACTTGACACATTCGTAACACTACCCCCTCCGTGTGACACAAGATATTTTGCAAAACACTAGTAAATCAAGAGTAAAATCATCAACAAAACATTTTACACCTTATGCCAACATAGATGAAGTTTCAAAATATTTTGAAGATTTTCATTTACAGATCAAATTTAGTGTTTTATTAGTTAGATATTTTAGAATTTGAAAACATACTCCTTGTTATACTTCCCTCTCGTTTCCACAGCGCATAACGTAATTCATATATAGACCAAAGTTCAAAATGTCGGACAAGTACTTTGTCTATGAGTATTTGAGCAAAAACTGTACAATTCTCCCTTTTTTATTAAATAGAAATGGACCATTAGTGTTTTCAAATTCAAATTCGAATTCAAAATATCTTTATTCATGTAGGTCTATTACAGACTCTTATATGATGAGAAGATGACTGAGAAGAAGAACTGACAGCTCGTATTTTTTTTAATGTTGTACATATTTACAATAATACTATTTCATTTAAATTCAAATTTGGGAGAATAGAGTGACCACCAGCATATGCTATATAAAAAAAAATTAAAAAATCTAATTAGTGTTCGCAACCTGAACAGACCAGGCACCACAAGCAGCACCCGTTCACGAGTATGACGGATGAGCCAGCCATCATTGCACTCAACCATATTAGAGGGAGCACATCGACCCGGCCCACCACGCCGCCACAAGTTTGAACTTTATAGCGAGCATGACTGTTTCAAGTTACTCCACTATGTCATTTATATTATTTACAGCATAAACTGTACCAATCACAGCTTCCACCCATTACAATATTTAATTTACATTATTTAAATTACAATATGTCATAGTCATAGTGTCATAGTCATTGTTAACATCAAATCTTCATGTCCCCGTTCATTCTCTATAATTACTGCCGCTTCTGATCTTTCAAATCAATACTAGATAACATACAAAACGCTTGCTTAAAACTACAAATACTTGTATGACAGCCCCGGTGTTCTGGCGGTTTAGAACACCGTCTTTCTTCCGATGAATCCTTGTACGGAAATATACACATATACAGTACATACAGTACATACATATGGTACAGTCAGGAGTGGGGTAGTCTCGCATCCCGTGTTTAAATCTTATGCAATGCAATCGACTGGAGAATTGTTGTTCATCTCTGAACATACTGTATGCTTAAACATAGCAACATATCGCAGCTTGTTGTTAAAGAGGTGCTTTGTTTAAAGTGTGGGTAGGTACCTCTGTCTTATCTAATCTCAGGACAATTCACACACCGCCTTACTTCCGATGATCGCTGGTTCGATACCTCGCACGGTGCAAACATTTGTATTCATGAATATGATTGTTTGTATCGGTCTGATGTTTTCTATGTATATTATGTATATATTTACGAAAAAGTTGTATATATTTGTATCAGTTATCTAGTACCTATAACACAAACTTTAGCGAGCTTAACTTGCGTCTAGATGGCGCTGTGTGAATTGTCCTCAGATTAGGTAAGAGAGGTACCTAGGCACACTTTGAACAAAGTACCTCTTTAACAACAAGCTGCGATATGTTGCAATGTTTAAGGGTACAGTATGTTCAAAGATTGAACAATCCCTCTTGATTGCATTGCATAAGATTTAAACACGGGATGCGAGACTACCCCACTCCTGACTGTACTACGTGTATATTCCCGTACAAGGATTTCCCGGTGCGTCACAGCTTCCTACAAGATAAACGAATGGCAATTGTAATTGGTACGTGATCCAATCCCTTCGAGAATACATGCCTACTGATGAAACGGGAATTTACCACACGGAGTGCTTTTCATGTATTGAGATATAAGGGCTCTTTGTATAATTCACATATTGAATTTATTCAATATTCATTCATTCAAACACAATATAAGTGTTACGCTCTTGTCGATGGAGCTCTTGCCACTTTTCGCAATTTTCCATCATGCTCTTTAATTGTTGATACGACACGACTCCCATTTTCCTTAATTAGTTTAATGTTGCTTTGTTTAATAAAAATTTATATATCCAATTAAATTGCTAATATTATTTATTGTGTTATTCAATTTCTACTAAATAGTTTATTTTATTTAAGTACGCAATAATGGCAAAAGTTATTGATGCATGAAATCACAAGTTTCATGCTCATTCTTCTTGTGATGAGTCTGCGTTCCAAATGAGTGGTAGTATAAAAAAATATGACTATTCAAAAGTGCTTGTATTGAGTTTATTTGAATAAAGCATATTTCTATTTCTATAATGTTAGCAAACCAAAAGAAATTCAGTTAATTTTCTTGCTAGTTCTTATCAATTGAATCTGTAACCGTCTCACTACTAAAGGTCTCGGGTTCGTTTCCTCGTATGGGACAAATGTTTTTATTCATGAGTATGATTGTTTGTATCGGTCTAGGTGTTTCCTGTGTATATTATGTATGTAATTACAAAAATAAATATATATATGTACCTATATCAGTTGTCTAGTAGGTGCCCATAATAAAAGCTCTTAGTGTTATATTAATTATAGTCTATTTTCGACCCTTATACGACCAACTAGTGGTCAATAAAAGGATCAGCATTACACAAGCAGACATCTAAATCATTTACACTCAAAAAAAGTATTAAAACATTTTATACAATTGAAACGGTATGGTATTCACCGTATACTGGTATACCCCGTGGATCTTTACGTGTTTAATAAATTAAAGAGCGCATACATTTGGTATGATTTCCCATGTTGCCAAATGGTCGTCAAATTTTAAACATCATGGAACTCTCTGTTATGAATAGATTGCTCAGAATTGAGAGCAGATTGATGCTTAAACGTCTTGGTATCCTATACAGTAATGCATTAAAGAGTTAATCACTGTTCCCATGGGAAACCTTGAGATATAGATACAGATTTGATTAGAACACTAAGTTTTATATATGTAACTTTGTAATATAATCTTATATCACAAAGTTATGTACATAAAACTTAGTGTTCTAATGAAAAAAGTAAAACATTTGTTATCAAATCAGAAATTCTATTGTGCTCTATAAACAAACAAACTTCTTATTTGTTTATAATATACTAGCTATTTGCTCTGGCTTCGCCCGGGTGTACATGTATTATACATATAAACCTTTCTCTTGAATCACTCTATCTATTAAAAAAACCGCTTCAAAATCCGTTGCGTAGTTTTAAAGATTTAAGCATACATAGGGACAGACAGCGACAGCGACTTTGTTTTATACTATCTAATGATATTGTATTTTCTATTAAGAATTTTATTATATTTTTTTGTAAAGAGAACATTTAGTGTCGAATATATATTGTGACAGACAAGAACACAAATAAAAATAATACTCCAAAAATAATATGACCATTTCTCAATTAATGTGAGAACCGGGTCAGAGAGGTACTGGCCTGCGTGATATTATTATGTGCATTGCGTCACGGGACTGTGTATGACGAGCATCGCGTGAACGCATTTTTATCGACGCTATACTGGGATTATCACGCTTTTCTACAGAATTAACGTCCACTCCATGAGTATACCAGTAGAGACAGATTGCGAAGATGTCGTACGGCGGATGACATCAGACCTCATCATACCCTATACATATAATGACCACGATGATACCGTCAAGAACGTATCGAATAAGAAGAATATTGAACAAACGAGTACAATGGGCTTGAAAGAGTATGGTTAAATAATAATGTTAATCATTTTTAGATGCTATTTGAAACGAACAATTTGATTCTTTATTTATATACTATAATATGTACAAAAGTTGCTTGTTCTGACGCTCTAATAATATTGAAAAAAGAAAACTAAAACATTACATTACAAAAAGAAGCTGAAGCGAAGCTGAGTCGCTCTCATATCTACTATGTATGTATATCATTTTTTTACAAACCGTACGAAAATTACAACTGTTTAAAATTTACTCATTGTTAATATTTTGAAGGTACTGAAATGGCAATTACGAAAAAAAACAGAAATGTAATTTATGATTACAATTATTTTACTAAATCATCAGCAATACAGACAGTATATACTGCATTCGTTTGCGATAATAAATATCATAATATTTTTAAGTAACTGATATTGTAATTACAAAAAAAAAACATATATATATTTTTTTCTAAAACTACACGACATTATCGACTATATATATATATTATACAGCATTCGTTCGAGATAATAAATATCATAATCAGTGACATTTACTAAAAATATATTTATCTGAGAACTTCTCTCCAAAGTCGGTTAAAATAACGCATACCAATGTTCTAAGGAAGCGGCTGCCCAAAATCGAACTGCTGCCATATATGCTTAGCCCTTTATTTGGCGCACCGCATTGTACCTTCCGTTTGGACATTGGACGTGCCTCGGGGCGTCACCTCTGCAAGCACACTGGCTGAACGTAATAAACGTAATCATTTAGCATTTAGCTGTCACGTTTTAGGTTACTTAAATACCTGTACCTGTCTTCGGAGTTCATTAATGGATTTAGGGTAGACTAGCAGTTCCCGCGACTTTGTCCGCGTGGAATATAACTATATTTTTCTAAAATAAAATTAGCCTAAGTTACTCCTTATTACATCAGCTATCTGGCAAAAATTTCAGAGATTAACCGGAACCAACAGACAGAGAGACAAAAATTGTAAAAAAATGTCATTTTGGTGTATGTACCGTATTTATATTCATATGCATGTAGTAAAAAACGGTTATTACGATATTACAAACAGACACTCCAATTTTATTTATATGTATAGGTATATATTAAAGATTTTTATTAATACTCGTTATGTTCCCGCTTCAGTCACAACAATGCCTGAATGCAATAATTTTGCGGTCACGTTTTAGTTTACACAAATACCTGTACCGACTTCGGAGTTCATTAATGCATTTAGGGTAGATTGAGGAAGTGTGCGCCCTTCGGCGTCTTTAGATTTTCAAATACCGGACGCTTAATACAAAACATATAACGTTTTTGAAACTAGACTTTAAAGTCCAAAGTTTAGAATGGATTCCTAAAATTAGCTATTTTTGAGTTAATTCATTCTTATATTAAGTAACTTTAGAAGCTAGACTTCAAAGTTCAATCTTTTGAATGGATTTCCTACAATTAGTAATTTTAGAGTTTAAGCAGTATTGTATTATGTGTACAATACTGCACATTTACTCAATTACCAAAAATAGATTATACCATATAGTTATAGTTTATTATTTTTTATCAGGTGAATTAAAAAAAACGAATAAAAATTTTTATAAATTTTAAAATTATTAAAATAAATTAACATATAAAATTAATCTTTAAATTTGTTAATATCTACTAAGTCAACACTGGTATTGTATACTACATTTGCGCGCCGTATTTGGCCGCATAACATCTGTTCAGTATGTATCATTTGACTTGCACAAAGTCATCAGTCATCAGGCTGAGTATCTCTGCTTCACCTTGGTACTTCTGCCGTCAAGGAGCATGTTTTATAAACTACATTTTTATTTTATTCTTTTTGTGATATTTAACTTGTTTTATTCGCATGAGAGTACTTTAGGCGTCACATGATTTATTTTTTTTATTTGACAAAGATGTTTTCTTCCCCGGAGGCAGTACGAAATGCTTTCACACATTTTGTCGAATCTATATCCCCAGAGTTGTATCGTAAAGGCATTAATGAACTTCCGATTAGATTGCAGTAATGTATAAATAATGAGGGTAAATGTTTTGATTAAATAAATATTTCACATATTAGAAAAAAAACGAGTTCCAAATTTTTCAGTACAAATCGGTAATTTCAGACTTTTATCCCTAATATACCTAATGTACTGGTAATCGCTAGATAGCTAGACGGTTTGTTGACGAATAAATAAACTAATTTTAACTACTGTACTCAATTTAAACATAATAAATTACAATATAGTATTACTATTACACACTATGACTCTATGTCCGTGATGTTTTATGTATACAGGATACAGAACCAAATAAACTTGTCTTCATTATTATCATCTCTGATTGACATACAAAATATACAAATGTTAAGTTCACTTGGTTTGACTTCCACAATACAGGTATAGCCTAAGTGGGGAGTCACAGATAATCTGCACCTTAGTTTAGTTTTCAGAAACTAAAAGTTACACTTATTATTTTCATTCTTTACAATTACAATCATAGATTTCGAATAACCTTAAGGTTACGAAAAATAAAAGTTGTTCTTTATGTACTGTTTTAAAGACGCGGTCATAATTTATAAGTCTAATTAGTAAATCACGGGATTTTACCACGTCATTTTTATTGAGTTCCTGTTATTCCGGCAGCGTTTCAACCGCCATGATCACGGGTAACAGATTATCCTTCATGTATCCTAACTAATATTATAAAAGTGCAAGTAGGGATGTTCGTTACGCTCTCACGCAAAAACTACTGAACCGATCATCATGAAATTTTCTACTCATGTTCTTGGATATATTAGAAAAAATATTTATTAAAAAAAAACAAATATTTTTGATTTAATTCGAGCGAAGCCGCGGGTAAAACCTAGTTACCTATAAAAACACTCACCTTCGATGTTCAGGTTGATGGAGTAAGATTGTGCTGAGCCGACTCCGTTGCTGACCTCGCAGGTGTACGTGCCCTGGTCCTCGTAGCGGGGCGACTTGATGACCAGCGTCTTGCCGTAGTTGTCTTGGGTGATGCTCTGCGATGACAGTATGGGACTGCCGTCTTTCTTCCACACTATCAGTGGAAGAGGCCTATATAGAGGGAAATAATGCAATATTTATAGTTGATCTGGCTAATCAGAAATGTTTTTTTTATTCTAAATTTAAATTTAAATATATGGTTCTTCTGGAGGATTCGAAATCTTTTTCTATAGTTTTACTTTTACCTATATACATATAAAATAAAACTACCAACAATAACCGTTTCAATCTTCTTTTTTCACAATTTTTTACATTTAATTTTCGAGCAAATATATCATTATAATTATATAATTATAACAGTCTCGGTGGTCTAGCAGTTTAACACACCATCTTACTTCCGATTGTCGCGTTCGATTCCTCGCACGGTACAAACATTTGTATTCATGAGTACGATTTTTGTGTCTGAGTGTTTCCTATGTATATTATATATATATTTATAAAAACAATAGTATCTATATATTTATCAGTTGTCCAGTTCATTGTTCTTATCAGTTGTGAGAGTTGAGCTAAAGAAACAACAACAATTATACACACCATACTCAGGAATACAAGTGTTTGTACCGCGCGAGGAATCAAACCCGCCACCATCAGAAGTAAACCAGTTCAATATACCACTAAACCACCGAGGCCGTCAGAATAGAAATAGATCGCTGTATATCTACATACGCCGTGGTCTGTGCAACACGGAGAACCTCGTCGTAAACTATAATGGCCCATATTGTCGCAATTTAGACTGTAGGCATCAATCTCACGAGAATTGAACTCAAAGTCAGTCGACACAACAAGATCAATGTCGGCCTAGTTCTTTACGTGTTTACATATTATAAAATGAAGTGGCATTTAATAATAATATTTTTATTTATTTCTCCTCACAAACATTGTACACATTGGGAACAGATACATGTAGTATTTTAGATAATACATTACATAGATTTATCATTACAATCAATTGTTGTGAGAAGCTGGTGTCGGAAATAGGTTACAACCTGTAATACAGACCACCAGGCCCTCCAACCGAAAAACAAGTGATATACTTTAAATAAATTACAATGCTTATACTAAACCAAATAAATTATAACCATAGTGTTTAGAATTAAACTAAAAATAATAGGTAATGAATAGGTTTGTAAGTACATTATAAGGGAAGGAGAATGTAAGAATATGTGTGAGAGTGGTGAGCCTATCTGTGGGTTTGTGTATACATGTGTATGCACGTGTGTGTGGATGGGAAGTGTTAGCGTGTATAGATGAGTGAGTATATGAGAGTATGAAAGCTTTTGCTGTGTATTCACTTAAATCTTTTAAACTACGCAACGAATTAAATGCAGTTCAGCAATAGATAGAGTGATTCGAGACGAAGGTTTATATGTATAATACATGTACATCCATGTGTAACTGGGACGGATAGCAAGTATATAACTGGGAGAAAATGCATATTTTTAAGGGGACGGTGATAATTTTAAGGGAATATTTGACAATGGAATGGTGCACTCGCCTGCTCTGCTGGCGGGCACCAGTTAAATAATGATATATTGAAGAATTTATTAATATGTTTATTTATTTGTACACTTAATGTGTTAATGATATAATCAACGACAACATTGAATATAAGAATCAATACATCGTCGTCTATAATCATATTATTAAAATGAACTACGATTTTGTAGGCGTTTTTAAAAAAATCTATGTATTATTAATCATCAATAAATTACTATAAAATAAGGGGTTACAAGTGGAGACGAACGGTTGTCGGCAAGTATCGTCATAGCTAGACGCTTGAGCTTAGTTCTTAGGCTTTTGATTCAATATAAACAAATATTCAAAGTTTTTAACCCTTAATGGTGTATATACCCTTAATGATCCCCCCCCCCCCCTCCCTTATATAATGTGATATCCAAGGTAATACTATTCCACGCGGACGACGTCGCGTGTACAGCTAGTATGTCTATAAAAAATACTTACGTGCCACCGTAAATGCAGTAGAGTTCCACTCGTTTCCCCTTCAGGCCCCTCTCGTTCCGTCTGGTGGTGTACTGGCGTACAGGTTCATGCTTGTTCAGAGCTGGCGATATTCCTGTCGGTTTCACTTCCAAGTACACTTTATTGCCTAGTTTGTATTCGTTCCTGAATATCGACTTAGCAGCACAGGTGTACCCGTAATTCCCGCTGGCATCTTGTCTCGTCACATTCGAGAACCACAGGTTTCCTTCAGGGTCCAGGGTCATGCGAGAGTTGTTGATCGTCTTCAGTTGCCCCTGGTCACCTTGTAACATCCAGTACACCTTCGGGCTTGGATGACCGTCTGGTGGTTCGCAGGTTAGCTTGAACGGCTTTCCTTCATCAGCGACGACGATTTGCTGGCCATCTGTCTCCTTGAAGGAATTGAGCTCCGCTTTTCTGACAAACACTGAGTTGGATGTGGCCGTTCCCCATTCGTTTTCGGCGAAGCACTGGTACTGGCCGAGATCCTCGTCCCTGGGCTTACTCACGACCAGGGTGCCGCGTCCGGGCTGCTGCGAGATTCGATTGTCGTAACTTGAGTATTCAAAGGGCTTGCCGTTCTTGATCCACCGGTATCTGTTTAGACAAAACAGAAATTACAATATTAAATAAAATCAATAAATAACCCTGGACAATTAACACAACGCCATCTAATCCCATGATAAGCAGATCTTATGTTGTGGTAGTACATACTTTTTTCTATAAATACAGGGAGGAATACACCCAGACCGATTCAATCAATCGTACTAATGAATACAAATATTTGTATCGTGCGAGGAATCGAACCCGCGACCTTAGGAAGGTGTTGTGCTGAACCGCTAGACTTACAATAATTGTTACAATTACTGTCAAATAAGTAATATTACGACTGTAATTTCAGATAGAGTAATCAGAGGTATTGGGACAAGGGAATTGTTACCAATGTGGATTATTAACCCCATTACCAGTAATTACTATGTAGACCTGCAAACGGTTCTCCCTGGTAACCATAGAGAAAAATTACTAGCGAATTTTCCATGATGGGCTAACTGACCTGACCTCATCCTCATCTTATCATCCCCCACCGGCGCCCCGCCAGGGTCAAACGTTAGCACAGACGGGTGCATCATCCCATTATCTAAAGTACGATTATTAATTCCAGTCAGTAAAATGACAAGTGCAACTGTCACTGATACAAAAAAGGGTGACCCGCTACAATAGTGATGTTCGGCAATCAATAGACTTAGACATTTAGTCATGCTTTATTTTATTAGGTATCAAAACCTTTTTTTTAATTTTTAATATTTAATACATATCGTATTAAATAATACGATTTTAGAATATGGACCTTACCAACATATTAAAATTTCTCACTATAACATTATTACAAAAGCTGGGAAAATATGTAAAAAGAGATTCAGAGAAATTAATACTAGAATTTTTATTTAGTTAAAGGCAAATTGATATTGAATAAAAAAAATGTAATCTCGACTAACTTTTAATTGTAAAAACTCGATTCTACCACATCACAATTTAATTGGAACTAAATACCTGCAAAACTGGAAATGTCATTTTACTGACTGGAATTAATAATCTTACTTTATACATATAAATAAAATTGAAGCATCTGTTTGTAATATTGAACTAACCGTATTTTACTACATGCATATGAATATAAATACGGTTCATACAACTAAATATTTTTTTTACAATTTCTGTCTGTCTGTCTGTTTATTCCGGCTAATCTCTGAATTTTTTTGACAGGTAGCTGACGATAACTTAGGCTACTTATTTTAGAAAAATAAAGTTAAATTCCACGCGGACGAAGTCGCGGGAACAGCTAGTCAACCATAAAAACAATAGAGGGAAGGGGATTGTTAGTAATGTGGAGAAATAACCCCATTGCTAACAATGTACCATGTCAGGCTGACCTCCAAGCGGTTCTCCCCAGAAAGCATCATGATTCATGATCCTTGTAGATTTTCCATGACAGGCTAATTGTCCTGACTCATCCTACACTGGTCCTCGTCCTGGTCAGGTTCAAACGTTACCGCAGATGAGTGCATCATACCATTATCAACCATTAAAAATAGTACCGCACAAAATTGACGCATATATTTGTTTTGGTATTTAGTCAGACCATTAGTAATATAATTATTATTATTTTTATTATATATATATATATATATTATATATCCCTTTTTACGGGGGTAATATATTCAAACACGCGGGCCTTAGCCATGGATGAGTTATGTGATGCAGAAAGAAATTTTCTTACTATTCGGCATGTGTGTGTGGGATATGCAACGTGTCTAGGTATTTGATTATTACTATAATAATAATGTAAATAAATTAATATTATTACAAAAGAAATTGATGATAATGCCTTAAAATGTACTTTTAATATATACGTATATTAAAAGTTTAATTCATTTTAATTTAGGAGTTTTATCTTAAGTTTTCATATTTTCGGTGAGTTTAACAATTACTACTTTTCTATTATTCGTTTGTTCATTTTCATACCGATACGTTATTAATAATACTTTAAGTTCTGTGCTTAAAAATAATAAGTTATCATCGGTAATTTTTGTTGTAACTGGCTAATGAAGAAACGTTTTTTATTTTAAATTTGTATTTGAATTTATAGTTCTTTTATATTACATTCTTGTTTTTTGATACTTCAATTTCCTTCAATTCTATTCCTAATTGTCAGTAGTCAATATTACAATATTTTTTTCGTTTACCTAGTCTTTTTTTCTTATTACTACAACAATTTTGAATAATTAGTAATATGTTTATTAAATAATTTTGAGTTCATTTTTCTATTTGAGTATTTAATTGAATTACTGCTAATTGGAAGTTTGTATTCGCACATTGAAAATTAAAAATGTAAAGTAAGAATATAATTATTTAAAATAGCAACACGCAAGTTTCTTGCTCGTTCTTGTGATAAGACAGCTTTCCGAATGAGCGGTAGATTAAAAAAATGTGATGACTATTCAAAAGTGCTTCAATGTAAGTTTATTTGAATAAATGATTTTCTATTCTATACTATTCTATTCTATTTTAGTACCGCATATTGCATATAGAGGATTACTTCAACTAAACTTCACAGGTTAGTGTTTAGTAGAAATTATCACAATTACTAACAAAATTATCCTGTTTTCATTCATAAATTACAACGTACAAAATTAGTCATTAATTAATTTATAATTCATAGTATAAAATTAAATTATTTACTTGTAGTTTAATGGTTCTGGGAAGCTATCCATAATTTCCTGGTAATTATGTATCTCTTAATATTCCCTACATTCGTGGTAGGTTAGAACTCATTCATATCCTAATGCAGGGGTGAGCAACCTATTTAATCCACGGGCCAATAAATTTTTTTTGGTGGGTAGCCCATGTAGTTATACCTATTAATAATGTACAAAACTTTATCATTATCATTACATAGTATAAAACAAAGTCGCTGTCGCTGTCTGTCCGTCCCTATGTATGCCTAAATCTTTAAAACTACGCAACGGATTTAGAAGCGGTTTTTTTAATAGATAGAGTGATTCAAGAGGAAGGTTTATATGTATAATACATATACACCCGTGCGAAGCCGGGACTAGCTAGTTTATAATAAACAGTAGAATAAAAAAATATCAAAATGCAAAGATTTTCTGTACATATTTTAATGCAAACGTTCGTATTGCATGTTTGAACAAGACTCCAATAAGTGACAGTATGTACATTTTTAATATAATAAATTTTATATCAATATATTGATGGGATAAAGTATAAAAAATAAATTCAATTATAGAAACGCTGGGGGGCGGGCCGCATAAAATGTTTAACGGGCCGCAAGCGCCCCGCGGGCCGCGGTTGCTCATCCCTGTCTTAATGTCTAGAATTACAAGAGAATTCAATTTATACTTTTAATGAAATCATCATTTGTGATTCATCTGACTGACTATACATTTGATAATGTATAATTCATCCCACGAATAAAGTAAAATCACGTAGGTACATTTTGTAGCTGTATTGAAATATAATAATAACAAAGCCTTTATTTAGATATTACAGTTATTATTTACATTTACATACGATATCATTACGGCCTTGGTGGTCTAGCGGTTTAGCACACCACTTTACATCGGATGGTCGCGGGTTCGTTTTCTCTCGCGATAGAAACATTTGTATTCATGAGTATGCTTGTTTGTATCTGTATGTTTTCGGTATTTTCTATGTATTTACCAAATATATATACCTATGTAGTTGTATTAGTTGTCTAGTACTCATAACACAAGCCCTGCTGAGCTTGGGACTAGATGACGTTTGTGTATGATTTGATAAGTTTCTTTTAGTAAATATGCATTAGATATTAAGGTACGATGGGACTGACATATCAAAAAAATTGGTAAAAGTACAAAGTTATTAAAACGTAAATAGTTATACTGAAGAATATCAATAACTATTAGTTTCAATTGAATAATTATTTTAGTTCTAGCCCATTTATAGGGGAAGGCTATATGACATCACGCCACGACCTCTAGGAGCCGAGCATCGATGAAAAATTGCAAAAGAAAATGGGGAAAATGTGACGGAGACTAAGTTGCACTAATCCGGGTGTATTTTATGAATCCACCTGCTCGTGAATACTAGGTTTAATGTTATAAATGCGAAAGTTAGTTTGTCACGCTTTCATGCCTTAACGGTTTAACCTATCATCATGAAATTTAATATATCATTTAGGATAACATAAATTACTCTTTATCCTGGTTGTATGAATAAATAAATATATAAGTAGCTCATACCGCATCCGTTAGTTGCGGTTTTTTGTATTTATTATTGTTCCTCATAAGAGATATTGACCTAAACTATAAATATTAAAAAAACTGTAGAAAATTCTAACATTAATTGTTTCTGGTTCTATTAGATTGATAAAGTCCAATAATAATAGTGTTTCTAATATTAGTTACATTTATAGACATTTTATTATATAATCCATAATATATTTTATCATATGTTATGGACTGATTGCAACTAGGGTCTGCAGACCATTAGAAACAAAATATGGTTCTCAGTATGTATAAAAAATTTGAGACTCTTTATAATATAGGCATATCATTTTTTTATTAAGTACCAAACATGAAGTACCAATAAGAAAATTATTGTTATGACAAATTATGAGTCCATCAGTTAATTGCAGATTTTATTGTTTTTAATTGCGTTTCATCACAGCTTAATAATACACTACTAGTTTTAATGTCAGAAATTAGAAAGAATAGACGGACAGACTAAAAATTCAAAATTAATATATTGACATACAAAAGGAAACAAGAACAAAGTAGTTATCAAAAATTATATGAGCCCGTCATTTAACTGCACAATTCATTGTTTTTTTTTTATAAAACCTTAATAATCTTTAAAGTTAACCTGTTTTATTTATAATAAACTACTAGTTTCAATGAAAGAAGAAAGAATAGACGGACAGACTAAAAATTCAAAATTAATATATTGACATACAAAAGGAAACAAGAACAAAAGCAAGCAGTGGCTCGTGCAATAAAATGTTTAATCTACAAACTAACAATTGGCTAATAACATTA